AGAGGTACCGGCCTGGACTGGCCTACCCCGAATACAACACAGGCCTGTGAGAACAGGCCAAGGGGCTGGTCTCACAGGCCAACCCGAGGTCCGCTACATTTCCCCTTGCAGACCATGATGTGTTGTATGGAATTGGAACCCCTTTCTTCCTACCCCTTCAGACTTCTGACTGAAAAACAGGCCGCATGAACACACTCACGCTCCGGTTGTGTCCGCCAGGGTGTGCTACGAATGAATTCCGTGTTTTTTGTTTTTGGTTTTGACCATATTTCGATTTATGCGTGTCATCCTTGCGCAGGGGCCATGCTACTATGCTTTGTATTGTTCCAATGCTAATCTTGTCCGTCTCGTTCGAATGTCCCAAGGACCCACGGAGCAACCCCTCAGGGCATACTCACAATAGGACTCTTTGGGATCAGCTTTGCGGTCATGTGCGTCGGCAGGGGCTCGTAATTGTGGCCAGATACGTTCGGGAACAAGCTACCTTTTTCCCCCGAATAACAACGTACAGTCATTATAGCTGTATTTGGGGAATCTTTCAGTCTATATACAACTATAATGACCGTACGTTGCATTCTGGGGAAGCAGGTGCCAGGTAGTATGAGGACGCGCTCAGAGCGGCTGCTCAGTGGCAAAGTGTCAATGCAAATAACAATGACCAGCGGCGTCTCTGGGTTCTGCTAAGTTCTCTCTCTCTCTCTCTCTCTCTCTTTCTTTTTTTTTGCGGGGAACTAAGGGGCTCGCAGGACGGTACACGAAACGAGAAAAAAAACTAACTCGTTTCGTGAACTTTTCAGTCAGAAGGAAGTCGCGAATTGTGTCCGCACGTGCCCCCTTCGGTGCCCGCCTGCAAAGCGCGAAAAGACGTAGGTTCTCCCGAGGAGCTGCGAATCCTCGCGAGTGCAGCAAGTCGGTCCAAGGCTGCAGCACGTACGGCCAAGGGATGTGGGTCCAAAAAAAAATTAGCATTTGCGAAAGTCAGTGCCCTCAACACTCGTCAGGGCGTATCCGCGAGTGATTTCGCGTGTGCCATGGGGCGCTGGTGCAAAAAACGAAACGAAACGAAACGGTGATTTTCAGCCTCGCGAGGCCTCGCGAGTTTCGTTTCGTTTTTTGCACCGTCCGGCGAGCCCCTAAGTCCTCTCTGTCTTAGGATGACATCAGGCGAAATAGAAAATAGAAAGTAGAAATATTGGCTCTGAAAGAAAAAGGGACAACAACAGGCTGGTATAACCCGTGGGCCAACCGCGCGAGAGAGTGGCAGACGCTCGCTGACGTGGCGGACACGTGGCGAAAGTACTGGGGCGGCAAGCGGATTATCGTTTTCACATTGCAACTCGAGTCTCGAGGTATGTTTCATTCCCAACCAATCCTCCTGGACTCGAAGGAGGGCATATACTAAAACTAGCGCCTTTTTTTGGTTTGGGGGATTGAGCTCTGGCAATAGGTCAAATACATCTGAGGGCATACTCACACGAGAACGTCTCCAAATGTATCTGACAGCATTTACAACCAGACCCAGATGAATTTGACTGCAATTGCGTCCACAGATCAGAGCAAAATGTCCGAGTGTGAGTATGCCCTGAGAAAGTCTTAATAAGAGTTCGCCGCGAGATCCCTGACGAAACCGTTGGGGAACAGTTATGAAGTTGAGGACATCTGACTCTCAAGCCTATTTGGGTCCGTTGTCCTTACTCGCAGGCCTCTTCCCCTCCCGGCCCCTGTCTCTCTGTCTGTTTCTCTGTCCCTTGCGCGCTCGTTCAGCGGATTACCATCTGACGGCATCTTGCAGAGAGCGTTTTATTGTTGGCGTGCAAGGATAGCGGTCTGCGTGGCTCTTCTTAGACAGTAACCGTACAAGAAATGCTCGAGTGAGTCGAGTCCACTACGTCTGCGTTATAGTCTCTGATTGGTGAGGATGTAGGTCACTCTGGAAAGCATTTCGTCCAGCTGAGCTGAGCTGTAGTCCTGGTGGATTCCATTGATCCTACAGATATCTTTCTCGTTGTCGTCGTCGATGTCTGTGTCCCTTACGTTCGCAATCAAATTCCGGAAAGCGGTTCGATAGATGCCGATGCTAGTCTTGCCCATGTCTCATGAGTCATTTGGGATACGCAAACTCCGTTTTCCGTATCCTTTTTCGGAAGTTTTCTCCCCGTAATTTATTCATCGACGACTGAATACATAGACCCGCCCCCCAAATTATACTCCTGCACCCCCGCTCCTGCTCCCCCCATTCTTTGCTCTCTCTCTCTCTCTCTCTCTCTCTCTCTCTCTCTCCCCACGGCGAAACGCTCGCCTCCCGCCTTTTCCCCGTTCTTGGTGTCACGATCGGAGTGTTTTCCATCGGCGCGCGCGAGCGCGCGCCTACCCCACCCCACCCCACCACCAAATGCCTCCTCTCTATTTCAGAGAAAATCGCTGAGTCAATCATCTCGGTCACTAGGTGTGCCGAAACAGAATAAAGAATTTTCAAAGGATCGATTCGCATATCGCAAGCGATTACTTTCTCTCCGTTCCTTCTGCTAATGATGCCAATTGAGCGATCCGCGTTTGACGCAGAGGAAACATTGCAAATTCAATTTTCTTCGACTCTATGGCAATTCGACAGTTTCCTATGTCTTACGTGAGGCTCTATATAGGGAATTAATTCAACTCAGAGATTTTGTACATTGCTTCTCTCGTGATAACGGATAAGCTCGACCCTTTGTTTGATGCTATATATATGTACCAGTCACAGAGAGAGAGAGAGAGAGAGAGAGAGAGAGAGAGAGAGAGAGAGAGAGAGAGAGAGAGAGAGAGACAGAGAGTTGGTAGACCCTATGCCGAGGGAGGATGCAAGATGCAGAAGCAGTGGAAGAGGTTCCTCACTGTTTCTTCCCCCCTCCCTTCCTCCTTCCCCCCCTCTCAATTTTCACCATTTCTCAACTTGTGAATCATTGGTCTATTCTGTTTATGTTCTATGACAAGTCTGTCACTCTTTCTACAGCAGATTACTGCCTGAGGGTGTGTGTTCAGACTGGGACATTTTCGACTGAAATTGGGGTGCGATTCGGGTCAGGTTCATCCCCGGAGAACCGCTATTGTGCGTGCGTCTCTCCGCGTGTCCTGGGAAGTACAATTATGAAGTCCCAAGGTCGGTTTCTGTTTTCTTTTGTTGTAAGAGTTGAAAAATAGCACACTGACAATAATGAAGACTTGGCTCTGCGAATGAGTAATTTGCAGAGTATAACGGGGTCGCCAATAACGGAACCAAAAGGATGTGAGTGCATCTTCCCGCATAAGATGGCAATATGCATCTCTTCCTATTGACGGTAACGGACGCATCATCCCGTCTTCTTTGGAAAGATGCGTGCACGTTTTATTTTTGTTTCGTGAGTGCTGTCGCGACGTCGTACGAATATGTTACGCCGCGGGGAGGGAGGTTTAAATTCCAACTTTTCCATTCTGAATTTGGACCAACAGACGCAAAAAAGTAGGGACAAGTTTTTGTTCAATTAGTTTTTAAATGACAAATTTTCGTGACGCAAATAACCAATGTAATATGCCGTTTCGAAAGGAGAGAGCGAGAGAGAGCGAGAGAGAGAGAGAGAGAGAGAGAGAGAGAGAGAGAGAGAGAGAGAGAGAGGGGTTACGGTATAGATGGGGCGATCATAGTAGTAATGAAATGAAAAAAGGACAGAAACCATTCTTGTATGACAGAAAAAGTTGCTTGCTTGCTTGCTTGCTGCCTGGCTGGCTGGCTATGGGTATGGGCCTCGCTGCATTACTTTATTTTAGGTTACCCAACAATCTTGCGAATGTGTAAATTGCAGGCTAACGTTAATATCTTTTCTGCTGGAGTGTGGAAAGATGCACTCTTTTTTTTTTTTTTTTTTTTTTTTTCCCGCCTGTGTGTCATTTTAGACTTGACTGCGAGTTGTGGAACGAGGCCGTACGTATGGGCGAGAGGTACGGTAAGGTAAGGTAACTACAGTCCGTACAACCCGAGTTCCCTCTCTCCACAGATGTGCTCCGTTGAGTATTTCCTGCGCTTTCGCTATTTCCCGCTGTTTCGGGGAAAAGTAGAGGGGAAAAAAAAGCACCAGCGGTCGAAGCTGGAGAAGATTGAAAAAAAAAAAAAAAAAGGCAAAGCGGGATCAGAAAAACTAAAGAATGGTCCTTCGGGACAGCCATTAAAAAACGAACGATAAAAGAAAAGATTTTCATCATGGCTCCTCCGCAAGAAGGATGAAATGTATAAATCGAAAAATGACTAAAAGAAAAGGGGGACAAAACTTAAGAATGCTGCAAGGAAAAAGACGAGTTTAAAAATCAACAGGAAGAAAAAAAAAAAAAAAAAAAAAGGTAAAAAGAGAAAAACTCAAGAACGGCGAATGGAAAAGAATAGGAAGAAAAAAAAAAAAAAAAAAAAAGGTAAAAAGAGAAAAACTCAAGAACGGCGAATGGAAGAGAGTAAGGGGAAAAAAAAAAAAAAAGCACTTAAAAAAGAAAACCTTTCAGAATGGCGAAGGGAGGAGTGTATCTTGCCGGTTTCTTCTCCAAGATACCGTCGTCGTCCATTCTCAGTTTGTGACTGAATTTCGAAAACTGACTGGGTCCTTAGCGATCCGGTTTTTTTTTTTAATAGATGGGTCGGAAAGACGTCTTATAATTGCGCAGGGGCCATGCTAATCTTCTCTGTATCGTTCCAATTTTTTTAACGGATGTCCCGGTTTGGGGATTCCCTGAAGGCCAAAATCACCCCAATGAGATATATGGCAAGGCGAGTTTTTAATCCAAAATCAAACGGCATGATAGCGTCATTTTTTATTTTTTTTGTTAATTCTTTAATTTTTCTAATCTTCGGCAGGTGGTGAGACGGGAGAGAAATCGTTGACCCTTTCTTTTTTTTCTTTTTTTTTTTTGGTGTATTTTTGGTTTCATCTGTGCGTAGGCAGGGTAGCTGCGCGGCAAGGAAGAAACGGATGATTCTGAAGTGGATTACTCTATTTCGCCGACTGCGTGGTGAAGTTGGTCCTGCACGGCAAATCGGTATTCTCTTGTCCCTTGGTAAATCGGAAAATCGTTATTACCTGCACGGTTGCACCCATCTCAACGTAGCAGGAGTCGAACTCATGAATTCTGCAGATGAGGCTTACTTACGTGGGCTGAGGCCCTTCTCTCCGCCGCTTCCTCTCTATCCCAGGGCTCAGGCTCAAAATAAAAGCTGGAAGGGGAAGAGGAGACCCTTCAAACTTCAAAAAATTCGATCATCTCGCCATCCGTATAATTTCGCGGCCATAGGCATCTCCGTGGGCTTCCGCCTCTCTCGCCCGAAATTCAATACAGACAAGAGGCACATCTCTCTCTCTCTCTCTCTCTCTCTCTCTCTCTCTCTCTCTCTCTCTCTCTCTCTCTCTTTCTGTGTGTGCGTGTGTGTGTGTGTGTGGAGCACAGACTAGGTTCCGGACAGCTTCCATACCCGATATTGATCTCTTCGGGGCTCATTTGGTACACCCATACATACCAAAGTTCAGGAAAAAAAAAAAAAAAGAGACCACGGAGGTGAAGATTCAGGTGCAGGTGCAACTCCCTCCTTCGCGTCCTCATAACCGACCTCCTCGTCCCACTCCTCCTGTCGGTAATACTATGATCTTCCGATGACGATGGTCTGCAGGGTGTTTTTTTTTTTTTTTAAATAGAACTTAAGGTATGAGCGATATTAGCTCTTCTTTTCTCCTTTCCCATCTCAGCGTGATACTATTTTTGCGAACTCAGTCCAACGCGATTCGAACTCCTTTGTTTTCTTTTGATCCTTGCCAGTTAAGGTATGTACGTGTGTGTATCGACAGTACCGCTGCTGAGCCACCTCCGTTACGTCTGAGGGAAATTACCCTATTTCATTTGCAAGAGCGGAGCGGACATCTGCTGTATCGGCTCCGGTCTGTGTCCCCATCTCTCTTCTATTATCCGACGGCGTCCTTCTCTCCAAAATCGGACATGGAAATGCCCGGATGCAGTAGAGCACACTTTAGCTTGCTTAGTGTACACTCGCACTGCGATTTCACAGCGTGTATGTGACCGCAATGATGGATAAATTCCGTCAGAATAGCCAACTGTGCGTGTGACGCCCTTCTTGTTCCTTCCATACCGAGCATAGCAAAGTAAGCCTCATCTGCAGAAGCATTGAACCATTCAACGCAGAAGAGTTGTTAGGGCGCTTTGTGCCAAACCAAACAAGGGGCTGATTTTTTATTTTGTCTTCCCTTCCCTTCTTCCTCCCTGAGTTTGCCGCGGTTATGTCACTTTGAACGGGTTTTCATCATACTAGTCTCTCATCCCTACCTGTCTACTTGCCCTCCCGTCCATAATTGCGTTCCCTTCTGCCCCCCCCTCTCCCCGTTCCGTTTCCCTTCACCCTTAACTCTTGCTATTTGATTCCCCTCCCTGCCATTTCCGGCACCGCCGTTCTCATTCTTTTCAGTTATGTGGCGGTTAAGGCGTCGACGAAAGGGAGTCGTCGACCTGAGACTGTTAGACCACGCCAAGCGTCGTGGAGTCGACCTGAGACTGACGTTTCAGGAGCGAGATAACTTGGTGGGGCAAGAACAGTTTGATGTGCACCCTTCCAAGCCATGGATTGCTTTTGTCTCTGCTGGAAAACCTCCAACCCTTCGAGTGTGGAATTACGAAGATGGACAGCAGGTGGAGGTCACGGTCAAGAATGCCACCAACACGTACGGAGCGAAGTTCCTCGGCGAGACAGATAAAGTTGTGGTCCGTGGTAAACGGGATATGTATGTTTATGAGATCTTGCCATCTTCCGCCGGACAGATGAAGGAAATAAAACGAGTCAATTGGTTCGGAACTTACGGGGATGTGAGCAAATGGACTGTACATTCGTCTGCCCAATCTGTATTGTGCAGTAGGACAGGATTTGGCGAATCGGATTCTATTAACTTTCGGGACTTAACCACAGGTTTTGATTTTAGCGACTGCCGCACTGAAAACGAAGTGACCATGATGTGCTTCCACCCTTTCGAATCACACATTTTTGCGACCGCGCATGAGAACTGGACAATCAACGTGTGGAGTGCTGATACTGAGACCCACGAGACCGTCACTCTCCAAACATTGGAAGCAGAGGACAAAGTTACTTCTGTGCGATTCTGCACAAAACCCCAGAGGTCACTTCTCATCACGGGCCATCAATGTGGCAAGCTCCAGGTTTGGGATTATCAGAGGAATGAATGCATGACCACTCTTGATGCACATGAACAGGCCGTTGTGCAAGCTTTCTTCCATCCACATTTGCCCTGCATTTTGAGCGCATCCGAGGACGGAACCATCAAGGCCTGGAATGATTCAAATTATCAGCTAATTAAAACACTTTGTAGCGGCCTTGAGGGATTATCACACAGCGTTCTCTGTAGGACCGACAGCTTGCTCGTGCTTCCATGTAAGCAAAAAATGTGTTTCATTACCGCAGAAGGTGTTTCCCCTGAGCCCGACTTTGAGGGGAGAGGGAAACTGGAGGTGGGAAATGTGAGTGCAGAAGGTGACGAAAGACTCCAGTTTGAGAAAACAGACGTACAAAGGATTAAGCAATTGGAGATGGAGCTGAGCACTGTGAGGGGGGAGAAAAAGGCCCTCGAAGAGGGATTTGAGAGTGAGAGGCAAACACATGCACACAAGATAAAGGAGTTTGAGACTGAGCTAAGCAATGTAAAATCGGAGAGGCAGGCATTAAGAGAGACATTCGAGAGATTGAAATTGCAGCACGAGGGGGAGAAAAGCATGCACTCACAGAGGGTGAAGCAGTTAGAGAACGAAAACAGAAATCTCTCGGCCGAAAGGGCGGTACTCAAAGAGGGATTAGACAAATCAAAGGCCGAGGTTGCAAATTTGGAATGCAGGCTGGAGATGGAAAGGGCTGCTGTGGAGGGATTAAAAACTGTGACGGCGGAGAAGAGGGCACTTGAAGAGGGATTTCAGAAAGAGAGGCGAGCGTGTGCACAAATGGTAAAGGAGCTTGAGACTCAGCTTAGCCATGTAAGGGTGGAGAGGGAGACGTTAGGAGAGAGGTTTGAGAGATCCCAATTGGAGCATGAAAGGTTAAAAGGAATGCACTCAGAAAGTGTGAACACTGTGAAGCAGTTAGAGAAGAAACACAGGAATCTGGTGATTGAAAGAGATGCTCTGAAAGAGAGGTTGGAGAAATCGAACATCAGGGTTCAAGAATTGGAGTGCAAGTTGGAGATGGTAGGATGTGCAAGTGAGAGATCGGAAAGGGCTGACAGAGTGCCTGAGGGGGTCCCGAAACTGGACATCCATCCAATGGCATTCAGAGAGTTTTCCCTGGATGAGCTGAGGACCGCCACGAAYGACTTCCATGATAACTGCAAGCTTGAAGAGCAACGCGATGGATRCATTTACATCGGCAAGCTCACATCTGCTGTGATAAAGAGAMTCAAGTATATCAACCTCAGGSCAGAGAATCRGCCAGCCCAAGTGACGAGGAAGCTTGGGGACCGGTTGAAGTCTCTTCGACACCCCCACCTGCATATGTTGCTCGGAGTRTGCTATGAAGGAAATTGYCTCGTGTACGAGCATATGACCAATGGAAATGTGAAAGACTGGATGTCGTCCTCAAGAGGGTCACAAAAGGGTTTCCTCCCATGGTACATCCGTTTGCGGATTATGGCTCAAGTTGCCCAAGGCTTGTCCTTCCTTCATTCCCACCAGTCTCTGAGGGGTGGTCTCATCGTCCACCGCGCCATCAAGCCTGAAAACATCTTCCTGGATGGTAACTTTGTTGCCAAAATCACAGCAGTGGATACCGCCCTGCTGGCCCCAACACTTGCAGAGGATTGTGAAGCACCTAATCTGGCTCAGTGCCCAGCGAGCGATGTAAAGTACATGGCCCCAGAATTGATTCAAACTGAGGTTTTCAGTCAGCAGAGTGACATTTACGCATTTGGAATCACCCTCCTGGAGATGCTCAGTGGGAAGTTTAGGAATGAATTGGGAGTCATGGAAGACGCAGTGGAAGATGCCGCGACCTTTGAAAGTGTGCTCGACCCAAACGCAGGAAGCTGGGACATCGATCTGGCCTTGGCAGCAGCTCGGGTGGGGCTGAGATGTGCAAGTTTGAACAGACGCCACAGACCGAGCATGACGACAGGTGAAAATGCCATTCTGCCTGCGCTGGAGGCTATTGCTCAGACAGTGGAACTTGCTGACTGTATTGAGGACTAGCAGAGCATGAGCCTATGTGACTAACTCGGTGACACAGTTGGGGAGCACAAGGGTTTGCGAAACTTTGCGCTATAGGACCACTGGACCAGACAGGGATGTAAGACTTGGTGGAGGAGTTCACGTTCTCTCACTTCACTCCGTACTTAGTCACTTTCCTGGGGACCTGGATAGCTGATTGACGTCCTAGTACTTTGTCAATTCTCTGAACTGCGAGTTTTGACTTGAATTCAATGAATTGTGATATCCATATTTTCAGTCACTCACTTGTTACTTGTTATGTTCCGGATCACTCACTAGCTCCCTCCCTCCCTCCCTCCCTCC